TCTATCTAGAATGGGCGGTTCGATAAGGGGAAGTATATAAGTTTTAGGCAGCAGGAAAGCATAAAAAGCTTGCCCATTTTTAGGACCTTAAATTTTGGGGGCATAATCTCTTCAATCAATCTAATGATTAACTTCAAAAAAAAGGGAAAAAAAAACGCAAAGCACTATATGTGCCTGAAAAAGATAAACTTCCAAGATTAAATAGTGATTGTCCAAATTTACTCGCTCATATATGAGTATTAAGAACTCAAAATCTAAATGCGGTGAATTTTAAAAAACAATAGTTTGGTGATTGTTAGGTGGATCCAATAATGTCAATTCGAAAAATCCTCCAGAGTAGCTCTTTCGCTTGACTAAGTGTTCAATATTTTCGCGCTCAAATATGGCAAACAAGCTTATAAATTGATCTCGGGTACTATATTAAACCCATGAAGACGCGCTCAAATATGGCAAACAAGCTTATAAATTGATCTTGGGTACCATATTAAACCCATGAAGACGCGCTCAAATATGGCAAACAAGCTTATAAATTGATGTTAAGTACCATATTAAACCATGAAGATTTGTGTTTCACCTCCTAACCTTCAATTGAGATTCAAAATCAACATTTTTGGAATTGGAACACAAGTGCTTAGACTTCATTTTAAAAGAAATATATCAAGCTATTTTTTCTTATTTTAGGCAATTATTGGAAAAATATGAAATTTTAGACATAGAATCGGAGATGTCAACATCTTGACCGAGACTAGCTCAAGCCCGCTTTAATAAAATAAAATAAAATCAATGAGTGCTGCAGTTTGCATTATTACATATGCACCAATCTTTTGAAAAATCATTGGTTTAGATGGAAATCGTCGATTCAGATCGAAAATCATTATAGTTGAACCGAATTCTAAAATATATCGAGAACTGGTTGTGTTCCCTAAAACTGGCCACTTTAAGCCGGTCTATACCAATTCAAATCGGTATGCTAGCATCACTGGCCCACCAATATTGGGCCAAACAAACACCTCCATGGGGCACCTTTTGCGCAGTTTGCCTTTTTAAAGGGGTAAGCCGCAAAGCACTTGGTTGCCCTTTGTCCCCTGCCACATATGTGATGTGGGACAGAAGGTTAACAACGTTCCACATTCTCTCCCATTCATTTATTTATTTATTTTTGAACAACAACAAAAAAATAAAATAGAAGAGAGAGGATAGAGGGAAGGGAAAGAAAGGAGAGGAGAGAAAAAAAAAATAGGAGAAAGCTAGCCTCGCAAGAGTGTCAGCAGCATCATTTTTTTCTCTGTTGATGTGATAACTAAACCTCCTAACCAAAGATGGTCAAAGATATTTTATCTATTATGGAGGACCATTGTCATGGAATGATGTGAGGCTTGGAGCCCCATTGAAAGAAAGACCGATGCTATCTTGTCGGAGAATATATTTTTTTTATTTTTTTTCTTTTCACCACTTTTCTTTTTTTTTGGCAAAGATCACTTACAAGCAGTCTTATTACAATAATTCTTGCTTCAAAGAAAATAAAACTAACAAATCCAAGATCTTAAAAACCTTGATGTCATTAAACCATTTTTCTTTAAACAAAAAAAATATCCACAATTCTTATGCTTGGAAATAAAAAGACAATATAATTAAATATGACAAGAAACAAAAAGAGAGTACCAGAGATTACCTCAACCAGGCATATTACATCTCACACCGAGTGACCACCATCCAATGACGCGGGATCAATGATCAACCTTCAATCTCAATCGGGAAAGCAAGTTTAGGCCAAGCCACACCAATAAAACATGAACCCCTTTGATCACAAACTCAAACCCTAGGTGAATTCCTTTAGAAACCTAGTTTGATAGAGATGGATTCACTTTTTGCTATACCCTAAAACCCTTAACCATAAATCTATAGTTGAGAGTTGGGAAAGAGAAGAACCCCATAACCTAAACCCTTAGGTTCTTTCATAATGTGGGTAAGAGAGATCAAAGATGAGAGAGTGGGGCGTGCCCCTTTTGGGCTTTCATGAGAGAGAGAAACTTTCTTAGTAGAGAGATAAAAAAGTAATGTGTAGAGATTTTGGGTAGAGACAATCCATTTTTTATAGGTTTTGAACAAGATTAGGGTTTCTAAAGTCTTTCTTTGGCTTGTTTCTTTTTGTGAGATTGAATATGAATCATTTATTTTGGGTAACTTGTAGGGTGAGAGATTTAAGCCATCCATTCCATAGATGAACCATCAACATTATGAAAGGTGCTCGAACCGTTATCCCCCTTTCTTAAACTATTTTTCTATCAATAGAAATTAAATAAAATAATTTTAAATATAATATTGAGCATACCAAAATAATACACAAGCCTTCTCATGCTTTCAAAAAATTCATTCAAATCTTCCTCAAGCCAATACCTTTCTAAAACATTTAGCAACTTGGCCTATATGCCAAAATCACTTATCACAAAAAGAAAAAGCTTCTAAATGGGTGGGGCGTGCCACCCATGAGAGGCTATCATGGGCCCACCATCGAGGCTTTCATAGCCTCATGTACACAATGGACCCCCATGTAATTTTAAATATTTTTAAAAATAAATAAATAATTTTATAATTTATTTGAATATTTAAATCAATATAAAATCAATATCTCTGATTTTATAAATCCAAATTTCATAAATAAAATATCCAGAGATATAGAAAAATTCAAATAATAATTTTAAAATCATATATATCATAAAACAAACATGATTAAATTCATTAGATGAAAAAATAATCCATACACTCTAGGAATTAAATCAATCAAATATTGGGGCACTCCACATTCAATTGTGGACTATAGACAATTCTTGCTTTATCAAACCGACCCAGCATTTTTCATGACCCACAGTCCATGTAGGGGTTCATTATTGGATCACCAAAGTCTGGTCGATGAGCCAAGGGGTCGCAATCTATGTCTGTGGATTTCAGGTTCTCCCCTAGAAATGGGCTAAGGTCTCTCAGGCCAGATGCGACCACAGCTCTTATGACGTATAGGGATATCTCTCACACATGCATACGCTTCACCCTGAAAGATGACTTGCTTTCTCGAAACGGTCTATCAGTATGCATGCCGTGTGATGGTACATGGATGAAGGTTTGGCCCCCCGTCTATGAAGGCCACCATCACACACAAGGGTCACATGGTCCCTCGATTCACTCCTCCGGGCATACTCCAACATCATCAAGGGATGACCCATTAGAACCCTTATCAGTTTATATTATATACTCGGGTAACATGAGGCTCTCTGCTGCAATGGGGGCTGCAATGACGGACCCTATTCGTAAGATTATAGACCTTGACGCCAACCAATGGCAGTTTCAGTTCATGTTGTCACTCTTCCTTGCCAGTAGTGGTTCCCTTGCAATGATCCAATAGGCCACCAAGATGAAGCTGGGCACGACCGAGGTGGGCCAACTGAGTGCCGCGGTGTCTCTGCTAAATGATGTGGCCTGCCTCTCCATCTTGACACTAGTTACTCTAACTCCAATAGTGTCTGAGGCAGCAATAACAGGAAGCCTACTAGAACCCTTAATTGTCTTGGCCTACCCAATCGTGGGCTATGTCGTGTTGGGTCCTTGCATGAGCTGCTTGATGTTGGACATGGCAAATGATGCGAAGCTGATCATGGTTATGACCATGGTCATTCTGTGGGCTGCAGTCGAGGAGGTGGTGGGTTACCATAGCCTTATTGCGAGCTTCATTTTAGGAATGGTAATACCCAGGGACAAAGGAGTGGCGTCCGCGTTGCTAGACAAGCTCTACTACCCGGTTGGCTTGGTGGCCTTGCCTCTGTATGTTACCTTCTCAGGGTATCTTGTTAAAGCCCAGCATACACCGGCACAGGCGACGGATATAGCGGCGTGGATGCCTGTTCTGGCAATATGGGGCATCTCCATTTTGAGCATGGCTGTGAAGGTGGCTTCAGCGTTGGCTGTGGCGTGGGCTTACAGGAGCCCCCTGTATGAGGCCCTCCTCCAGGGTTTTCTTCTCAACTCTAGGGGCTTTCCAGACTTGATGCTCATCAATATTGGCACTGAGAAACAGGTAAGTCCTCTCCCTCACCTTTCAATTGCTTTAGTTCTACTTTCGTATGAAACAATTGGGCAATAGAGAACAAATACTTTGTGCAACTTGCTTAGAATGGTTTCGACTAGAAATATAGGTGGATTCAATAAAAGACGTTCTCGTAAAAACTTGCGAAAAAATCCTTGAAAATTTTGTTTTTTGTTTTTTTTTGTTTTTTGTTCTTTTTGACAAGAGTACTTATTATTAAATCAAAAGTCGATTACATATATCCCCGGTCTAGAACAACGGATAAGAAACAACTAGGAAGCCTAAAGATGCGCCTTTCTTGGCTAGATTATCGGAAGTGGAATTGGCCTTCCTGTAAACATGGTTAAAACTCACTAAGCTCGATTTCCTTTAACCGAAGTGACCTTAACCGCCTTGTTAAGAGGATTTATTATGCTAGTTGATGACATTAAATAAGTCATCTTCTATAACAAGCCTCTTTCCCAATTCTTTCTCCCTCCTAATTGACACCCCTTGTAACGATGTTGCATGTCAGCATGGTTAGCTGTAACTACACCACATGGACCTGCATATTGAAATATTGCATACCCCCCACTATACATACACCACCTACCCTTGCCCTGCTTGGATTTCTAAAAGACGATCTATCAAAGTTTAGTTTTAAGCAACTCCCCATTGGTGGGACCCAAATACATCTCAGTCTTACCTTAAGGTATCTTAAAGAAACCAAATGCACTTTATTTTGTTCAACGTCCACCCCTGATACACCTCTCCTTTCCTTAGTAACAATAAACCAACTTCATACTCTAAACAAGATTTTATTCTTTAATTATTGTAAATCCATTATTACCCCTTCAAAAATTCTTCTATTCCTTTCTAATCAAAGCTCCCAAATAACAATTCCACAAAAAATATCCCAAGTAATATCACTAACTTTCGGAATTCTAACAATATTAAAAGCCAATGATAGAAGTACCAGAAAAACACCTAGTTTCTTCATTACCCAACACTATAAAAAGTAAGCATAAGGGCAATGAAAGAATAGATGATCACCATTCTCCTCATCACTCTTGCAAAAGAAACAAACATTTACAATTGCTTTATCTCTCTTCCTTAGATTGTCGACTGTTAACACCCCAAATAAAAGCATGTCCTTTATGTGGTATTTTCCCCTTCCAAATATTTTTCAAATTAGGAAAGTTCCATCTAATATGGCCATGAAAGAGAATATGGTAAGCAATTTTGATCCAAAAAAAGCTATCAGTCTCCAGCTCTCATCATTCGCATAGTTTGAAATATAAACCTCTTCCAAGTCCTTCAACAATTCCATAAATTGTTCAGCTGCATTGTGACATAGGCAGTTATGCATGCAACTAATAATCCACCGCACAGACTGACCATTTGGATTTTCAATCTCATTTAACTTCGTGAATAGTTGACCACATCTTTGGAAGAAATCTGGATATAACAATTTACATGAAATTTCACCTACTCATTTATGATGCTAGAAAAGAATTGCATCCCCTTTGTCTACCAACCATCTTGTATGCTTAATCAAGAATGACCTCATAGAAACAATTGATTTCCGCACAAAAGATTGCTATGATCCACCATTGCCCCTAGCAATGAGTTGATTTATAGGATCAATACCGTACTATGATACCAACACATCAATTTATAGCTGGTTTTCATTTTGCTATTGCACGGCACCACCATTTAGCAATTAGAGTCTAGTTAACTAATTTCAACTTTTGAGTGCCTAGCCTTCCTTCTCTTTTCGGCGTACAAATTATATCCCAACTCACCAAGTGGTAATTCTTCACTTTATTATCTGCGCTCCACAAAAAATTCCTCATAAGCTTCTCAAACTTTTTGATAATGTTAGTAGGCATTAGAAGTAAAGACATTTGGTAAATAGGAAGGTTAGATAGAGAGATTTAATCAAAATAATTTTATCCCCTAATGATAAATGCTTCATCTTCCATATGTCCAACTTCACATTAGCTCTCTTCACAACTGGATCCCAAACCTCCTTAGGTAATCTAGAATGTGATAGAGGCATCCCCAAGTATTTGATTGGAAAATTTTCCACTCTACAATTCATAACATCAACCAAAATTATAACCAACTCCTCATGACATCAGACACCAATAATTGAAGAATTGACAAAATTTACTTTAAGGCCCACAACTAGCTCACAACATCTAAGAAACCTTCTAATCTTTAGAACTTGGTCAATGTCTACCACACAAACTAATGAAGTCCCATCAACATATTGAAGATGAGAGATACAAGGACCTGAAATGTTCACCTGAAAGCCTTGAAAACCTTATCTCTCTTCAACATTTTTTATTATCAAGCTAAATGCCTTCCCCACTAAAGTGATGAAAAAGGGTATAGAGGATCCCCTTGTCTTGCATGCATGAGATGCTTGACATGCAACTCATATGGGAAAATTACGTACAGACACTATTTCTACCCCTATAATATCGTGTGGGACCATTTTTGCCAAAATTACAATAAAACCACTCCCCCTCAGCAGCCCTTCATTTTTTTTCCTGCAATTGCCCACCTATCCGGCAATCTCAACACTAGACAAGGGGGAGAGAAGCTAGGAGAAGAAGATAAGAGTGAGAATAACTATTTACTCATATGGGGGTATATTATATATTTATTTCCTTGGACAAAATATATGCTAGGGATAATTTTTAGATCTCCAATTTGGAGATATAATCTTTGCAAGACATAGAATAATCTCAACAAAATAAAAGTTTACCAAAATAGAATCTATGTGCCAGAAAAAACTAATGCCTCAATATTGAATATGGATTGTCTAATTGCTGAAGGGCTAGACCTAACTGTCACAAATCAAAACTCAATTTTTTTTTTCTTTTAAACAAATCAACGTAGCTAGGTTTGTTGACTAAGGGAGTAGATAAATGGAAGCACAATATATGTGCTCTAGAAAAAATGTTTCAAAATATGTGTGAATTTTATCTTGTTTGGTGTTGTCATTGCTGGAAAAAAAAGGGCTGCTGAGGGGGATTGCTCGCCATAATTTTGACAAAAAAATGTTCCCATTGGGTAATAAAGGGGTGGAAAAAGTGTTTGCACATTCTTTTCTTCACTCGACATGACACTGTTTTCTATTTCGAGAAATTATCTATCATATTTCCAAAATTTTGATATAGTTCTTCGCCGAAACAAAATGGTGGTTGCTTTAAGAAATTTTGATATGTATATTTCCTAACGGTGAGGTTTGTACAATGTATCAATCTTATACTATTGAAGTAAGGTACGCTTCAAAATTATGTTAAAAGATGTAGTTCTGTTTCAGAAAGCTTTACTATGGCATACCCCTAATTATGAAAGTTAAAGCCACAAAAGCTTATGTAGATTGAGTATACAGAATGCCTTTGATAAGTCCCCACTTTCCCAAAGCCCTATGACCATAATGCTGTAAGCTGAGGCATCAGGTTTTTCACAACTTCCATTCACGATTCTCTCAAATAATGTCATTGCATCATTGAGTCTCCCTTCTCTCTAGTAACCAGAACTGAAGTTGCAGAATCAAAGACAATGGATTACCCTTGCTAATTAGTTAATCTGACAAAGGCGATGTATTACTAGAATTGAAGTTGCAGAATCAAACGAAAAGGTATTTTTTAACAATGAGTCTAGATAGATCAAATCCTGTAATATGTCCCCATTGGCTTCTGGATGAGAGAGAAAGAGAGAGAGATGGTTTGGGGAGAGAGGCAGGAGAGAGAGAGGGCATATGGGGGAGAAGGTGAGAGAGAGAGGATGGTTTGGAGCAGAGAGGTGATAGAGAGGGTTTAGGGGCGAGAGGAGAGAGAGGGGGGTTGTGGGGAGAGAGAGAAAAAGTATGTGATACAGATTAAGAGGAAAAAGCGAAAAGAAACGGTAAAGGGACAGTGAAAGAATCGTCATTTTTTAAGATGTTTGGGATGAAAATATATCAAAAAATAGAGTGCAATGGGGTTAGTGGGTTGGAAGATAAACTTTTTGAAAAACTAGTGCTATTATATAGTTTTCAAATACGTGGGTCTACTAGAAAATGGTACACTAAACTAGGGTGTATTGAGATATTTTCCCTTTCTTTCTTCACATCTATACATTTCGAGTTGAGATAATCAATTGAAGGTTCTGTACCATCGGCATATGGGTTTTCAAGGTGCTCCTTACTTCAATAGTATATGGTTGACACCTTAGATAATGTTTTTCCATTTTCTAATGACCATTTATTTTTGTTAATACTAAATTTTGAAATATTTGGAAATAAAGAGAAATACAATGCGAAACACCTTTGTTATATGGTACACTTCCCAATGATAACACCATATTACTGTGTTCTGTTGACTCAGAAATAATCCCTTTAACATTATGTGTTTTTGTGATTTACAATTAGATGTTGAACTTCGGGTGTCTCATAGTTGTGATGCTCAGCTCCATCCTCAGTGCCTTCCTTGTAGCCCCTACTGTACTTGATGTCATGTGGGCCACCAATAAGTTGGAACTCACCTACAAGCACCCTGGAATCGAAAACCAAGGGCCCGTGGCTGAGCTCCGCTTGCTGGCGTGCCTACATGACATCATCGACGTGCCTAGCACCATCAGCCTCATCGAGACATGTTGTGGCTCCAGTGACTCCCCTCTCTCCATCTATAGCATGCACTTGATCGAGTACAACGAGCAGACGGCCACCCAGTTACTGTATCGACATGATGCATCAGATGCGTTAGTAGGCGAGGATACAAAGAAGATGGACTCTGTGTTTTAGGCATATGCTAGGGACTCGGATGTCCAAGTGTGTGGTAGCAGTGCCATCTCCTTCTTTTCCAACATGCATGAGGAAGTATGTCGTAGTGCCGAGGACATGCAAACCTCGATAATTCTCCTCCCCTTCCACAAGCTTCAGAGGGTCGATGGCAGGATGCAGGAGCGAAACTCAAGGTTTAGGAAGCTCAATCAAAAGGTGATACGCCATGCACCCTGCCCAGTGGGTGTGCTTGTTGATCGGGGGCTTGGCGACACCATGTTGAGGTCTGCCTCCCGCATCTCCCAAAACCGCAATGTGTATGGGCTCTTCTTTGGGGGCCCCAATGACCGTGAGGCAGTGGCATTGGGCTGTAGACTGGCAGAACACCCACATGTAAGCTTCACAATTGTGCGTTTCCTGAATAATTTGAGAAGGACACATAAGGACACCAAAGCTATGTCATACGAAGAAAGGACGGTGAGGACGAGGGCATATATGATTTTAGAACTCCAGGCATTGGATGCTGAGTGCACGTTGTTCATCGTAGGAGAGGGAGCATAAGCTGCCACGATCCTTAGCGGCCAGAGAGACTGCCCGGAGCTAGGGCCTGAAGGGGACTTATTGGCTTCCTCAGAGTTTTCCATTACTAGTTCAGTTCTAGTAGTAATCAAAGGTGCCCCAGGATAGTGCCTAGAGGAATATAAGTTTTGGCAAACTTTAGCCACAGTAATTTGACAAAGCCAATCAGAATTTCCTGTAAATTTTTTTGGTAGGTCAGTAGGGAAAGAGTCCGCTGCCTGTGGTAGGAATAGAACCCAAAACATCATCTTGCGACACCTACCAACCACCTATGCCTGGAGCCCATTCCTAAAGGTAAACATGTGAATACAAAGAAAGGTAAATACTTTATAATGCATTGACAAGGTCTCTTTTATGGTTTCTTTGATGACAATTGTTCCTCAATCCCCATTTTGGATGTAGCATGGATATTTCTAATTTTGGCCTACCAAAGCTGTTTTGGATAGATTTAAAAGTTAGGATTTCGACAGGTCATTTATTAATGGGCAATTGAATAGCTTCAATAACCTGGTAGCCCATTTCCATTAATTTATTAGAAATCCCTTGTTATTGTAGAACACTTTCATCTTTAAACATGTTTAGAAAACTTATTTTAAGGAACTAAGTCAGAGATATATCTAATTTGATTGGGGTAAAACTTAAGTTGAAATATGAAACCAAAATCATGCATGCTTAATCGACATAAAGGAAATCAATTCCAAGTTATCATAACCAAGATAAGCTACTTTGAGACAAAACAAGAGGTAAGTTAGGGATTACTTGGATAGGAGAAGAGAAATTAATTTCCAATAAAATGATTTGGATGATAGAAACATTGGCAAATGAGTATACAAATATAAAAGATGAATCAATAAGAACCTTATTAGTAATTATAAATAGGAATAGTATTTGTGTATCTTCCCCCCTTCAAAATTCATCATAAAGGAGGATTGAAGTTGCAAAACCCTACAGATCTATCCATTGACGCCAAAAGTTATGGATTTGAAAAAGAAAAGCGATTTAGAACCGTATAGATCTATTTATCATATACAAATTTTATGACCATACTTTTAAACTCAAATTCTTTAAAACTATAGATGATATTAAATATAGTTATATGTTAAAATTTACAATTAAAAATAGAAAGAATTAATGAACCAATTTAACCTGAGGATGCCTTTAATAGTTATAAAAGATTACTAATAAAATAATAACAAAGTAATTATAAGTTTTTCATGAATATCTCAATTATATGTTTCTAATTACAAATATTCCAATATGAATTTATTTTTCTTATAATTTTATTAATATTAATGTAGTAATTCATGTATTACTATTTTCAGATGTAAATTTTCATATTATGAAAACTAAGTTTCAAGTGGTGAAGTAAAAGATACTTGTGAAGCCTGAAGAATATTTACTTTTAACATATATGAGAAAGAACATATGAAGGGATATTGGTTTTTTACCAGATGAATTCAACTATACTTACCATTAGTCTCCTCCAATTTTTCAAGTTAAAGTTAAAATTAATAGAAAGCTCTGAATCCTTTTACTTCTAATTTTCTAATTTGAAAGGAAAAATATTACAATTAACTCTCATCCAAGTTCAAATGGATCTTTAACTCTACCGTAGTTTTTTTTAGGATGATTTTGAACTCTAAAGTTTAAACGGGGCATCTATGAAACACTATTCACATTCAAAGCATGGTCCTAATCGCACATAAATAAAATATGTAAATGAATGGGCATCTTCTATAAGATAAAAGGCCAAATGAATGTTATTTTTTAATATTTACTTCAAACTATACAAATTTATGGCCATATCTTTAAAACTATAGGTGATATTAAATAGAGTTATATATTAAAATTCACCATTAAAAATAAAAACAATTCATAAACCAATTTAACCTGAGGATTCTCTAGTAGTTATAACATATTATTAGTAAAGTAATAACAAACTAATTATGTTTTTTTATATTTTTTTTAGTTTTTATGAATATCATAATTATATGTTTCTAACTATAAATATTTCAATTTGTATTATTTTTATTACAATTTTATTAATATTAATGTAGTAATTAATCTATTATCATTTTTAGATGTGAATTTTCAGATTATAAAAACTAATTTGGTGAAGTAAAAATATTTGTGAAGCCTAAAGTTGAAAAGGTCTACCGTGAAAAAAAAAAAAGAAAAAAAAAAAAATCGATAAGGATATTTGTTTTTAGTTATATGGGAAAGAATATTAGAGGGGATTTTGGTTTTTTTAAAGGTGAATTCAATGTACTTACTGTTAGTCTACTCCAATGTTCCAAGTTAAACTTAAAATTAATAGCAACCTCTCAATCTTTTAACTCTCTTCCAATTTTCTAATTTGAAAGGGAAAATATTATAGTTAACTCTCATCCAAGTTTATATGGATCTTCAACTCTAGAGTTTTTTTTTTTTTTGAGGAGATCTTGAACTCTAAAGTTTGAAAATTGAAGCCTAAATGATATTTGGAATAAAACATTTATATGGGGCTTCTATGAAGGCCTATTCACATTCAAAGCATGGGGCCTAATCACATATAAATAAAGTATGTAAATAAAGTATGTAATTGTAAGGGTATCTTCTACCAAATAAAATGCCAAATGTAAATTATTTTTTAATATTTATTTAATTATACAAATTTTATAACCACACTTTTAAAAACCCAAATTATTTAAAAATATAGGTGATATTAAATATAGTTATGTATTAAAATTTACATTTAAAAATAAAAATAATAATAAACCAATTTAACCTGAGGATGTTTATAACATATTATTAATAAAGTAATAACAAAGTAGCTATGTTTTTTTCATGAATATCATAATTATATATTTTAAAATTTAAATGTTCCAATATGTATTTATTTTTATTATAATTTTTTTAATATTAATATAGTAATTCATGTATTATGACAATAATAAGTATAGTTTCACTAATTATAATTATAAAAATTATATAGAATTATTAAGATTAGAATTAAATATTATTAATATATTCAACTGGAAGATTTGGGGATACCTTCACGTCATTAGATTCCAGAATGGTTAAATTTGTGCCATGGGTGGGGTCCATCCGTTTATTACCAATTCAAACCTCTGGATTGTACCAGGTTGGGCACCGTTTCCTGTCCAATAAATTATTAAACAAAAAATACAAAACAGAAATAAAAAAATTTAAAATAAATTATCTAAAAATACAAATTATATAGGTAAATAATATAATTGATATTATAGAATATTGCCAAAAAAGAAGTATTTTATAAAAATACAATGTAAGTTATATTTATAATTAGTGTGTGGTTTGTATAAGGCCGAGGCTCTAAACATTCAAATTAAAATGCGACTTCAAATAGTGTCGAAAGATGTAGTTTCAATACTAGAAATATTTGTGTTGTCCTGAAAATTTATTTTTATCTCTAATTATAAAATTTAAAGCTTCAAAAATAGTGTACATCAAGTAAATCTATGAACACTTGAAACTCTTAAAAATTGACGGTCCAAAAATGCATTACAAGATGCACTATTTCCAAAACTTGAAATTCATTTTGCTCATGTATATGACTCTTGAGGTCGAGATGATCAATTTGAGGATTTTTAGGCATCGAAACAACCTATTCTAATGAAAATTTTGAGGTGCGTCTTAATTTGATTGTTTAGAGCCTTGCACTTATATTTTCTTATTGTTTTTTTTTTCATGTATATTTGGTAAACAACCTATTTTAGCAAAAAGAGCATTCCTTATTGCTTTGTTTTTTGTTTTCTTTTTGCTTTGCATTTTCTGTCTTTATTTTTCCAACAATTAGCATATTTTTTTTAGTTTATACGTTTGTATGTGATACTAAAAATATTTCTTTCCTTGGAATGATGGTGAATTTTTTTCAATACAATTCTAATCCAATCTTTCCTACCTTATTGTAATCAATTATAATAATTTGGAATATAGTCAAAATTTATTTAAATTTAAATATGGTTAACTTTGATTAAATTTATTTAAATTTGCAATATAGTCAAAATTTATTTAAATATGATTAACTATATCAAATCACGTGCAACACCAGTGCATAATACTAGTTCGTTTTAAATAGATGGAGGAGGGAAAAAAGCAATTAATTTTTAATTGTCATTTGTTTTTAAATTTAATGCATCCAAACACATACTTAGGCTTGAATCGAAACAATATAATTTTAACCAATATACTAAAAATCACTCCAAGTTGCCACATTAACATTTGCTCCTACTGCATCATTTATTTACATATGGATATTGAAATTACCATTTGGTCCATAAGTTTGAATCGAAAGAATATAATTTTAACCAATATACTAACAATCACTTCAAGCTGCCTTATTCACATTTGCTCCTACTGCAATATTTATTTACATACGGATATTTGGTCCATAAGTTTGGTAATTTTACCAAGAGGTCATGCTTTTTTTTATTTTATTTTTATGTTTTTATTTCACCTGATATTTCAAATTAATGTTTTAAAAATTGATGATTCGATCTGGATGGGTATCAATAGAGGCATTCTATGTTTAAAAAACGGGATCTAGCCCGTTCCACACGGTTTTGTGCCGGAACGGGTTTGTGACATCGTTGATCATGCTATATGATGTTATCGAACGGGTTATGATGTCAGCAAATGTCACTGCTTTCTTTTGAATATTAATTTTATGGACGACACTCAAATAATTTAGAATTGACATCACCTAACAAAACGTCATTTGTTTCCTTTTGATTATTAATATGTTGTCAGCAAATGTCATTGTTTTTCTTTTGAATATTAATTTTTAAGGACGGCACTCAAATAATTTAGAATTTATAGAACAATATAAATTCACATGTCCTACCCTGCCAAATCTCAGGCAGCCCCCATTGGACCACCCTACATTTTTAGCCCATCCTTCTCTATAGGGTGGTATGATTTACAACCTAATCCTAATGGATTGAGAATTATACCATAAATGTAGGATTTAATCCTAATTGATCTAGACCTCAATTGAAGACTATATAAACCTCCCTTTAGCCTCCCATAATTCCGGACTAAAATCTTATAGAAATTCTTAAAGAATTAGAGAGAAAATCCTTAAGATTAACAAAAAAACTCTAAAGAAACACTAAGCCTGGGAGACTAGAAAAACCTAGGTGACTCAACCGTAATTCTCTACAAACCCTAATTTTCTACTACCATTAGCCCTAATTTTATTTGATCCTTAGTTTATTTCCATTCTTTTTTTCCTTTTGATTTCCTAGTTTCTTTATGAATATTGCATGATTTCAAACCGGTTCGGCTAACTGCGAGTGATGAGAATATCTATTTTTGTAGAATCATCTTCTCATATCTTGTAATTTGATGGAATCCACTGTTATCTATCGAAATTTTAATTGCTTAATTTAAATCATAAATAAAAGAGGATTTCATTTGAGATCTTCACATGTTTGTCTTTAGACAAGCTCATACACATCAACACATAATATATTTAAAGACAAATAGTCAATACCCAAAACGCGTAATACATAAAACCCATAACACGAGTTAGATTTATACAAAAATCGTCAATAGCCAATTGCCGTAATGAGTAAAAATCATCGAAACAAAGTCAAATAAAATGATAAAACCTCATATTTTTAATAACAATCTTCGAATGCACCGTTGATAACTACACTATGATGGGCACTACTCAGAAAATCACATTACATTTGTTTGAATCCTCCATTAGAAATCTAAAGGTCAAGGAAGGAACAGATTACGTGCACCTTTTTTGTGATGACTGTGAATGTTGTATAGAGAGTGAGTGCGGGGAGGCTAAATGAGGGAGAAAGGGAAGGAGATATGGTTTATTTAGAGAGGGGTGAGAATGGGAGGCAAACATGGATGAATTAGGGCTTTTATGCCCTAATCGAACCCAATACAAAAAAAGAAGAAAATAAAAATGGATTAAATAGGAGGAAAAAGTTTATATAAGGTGTCAACCTTATACGGTAGAAGTAAGGGGCACTGTAAAAATATATTGAAAAATATTGTTTTTTCACTAGAAAATTCTCCAATTGATCATCTTGGTCTTGATATATGTGGACATGAAAAAAAAAAAAGACTTTCAAGTCCTAAAATTAGCCCATCTTATAACACATTATCTAGACTATCAATTTTCAAGATTTTTGAGTGCAGACAGATCTGCTAGATTTGCACCATTTTCGAAGCTTTCAATTTCATTATAGGAGTGAAAAATAGACTTTTAGGCCATGATAAAAGTTTTGGCACCAAAAGTACATCTTTTAATGAGTTTTTGAGGTGCAACTTACCATGATTGTTTAAGGTTGACACCTTATACAAGCCGCACCCTTGAATAGGCCTAATATAATAAAAGGAAATGATCCAAGATTCAAAACATCGAACCTCATATACTTAAAAGTAAAAAAAAAAAAAAACAAAGAATTCAAAAGCATTTCAAGGTTCAAAGGCATGAACCACTAAAAATATAAAAAAAAATATATGAAATATCTGGGTCTGATGTTTGTGATATTGGACTATGCTGTTGAGGTGGACGGGCCAAGAATGTAGGGCGGTCTGATGTTGTAGTCAATGAACTCTCTAAAGGTTGTTTGAAATTTCAGACCTCAGACTAAGTTCTATGTTTGAAACATCAAATGGGGTAATATTCGAAAAAAAGTAAAAAAATATTGGGATGAGGACCTTGTGGTAAAATTACTAACTTATAGATTAAGGGAAAATTTATTGAACTCTAGTTTTTAGACATCCTCCACACATCATTTTAAAACACTATATGTGAGTAATTAGGTAAAATAAGAAATGCTCCACTTATATATGGAAATTACAAAGAAGGTCGGTCGACCTACTTTTTTTATTTTTTCAAAATTTTCCCTCAGTCAACTTGAATTTTGAATTTTTTTTTTTTTAGTTTTATCGTTCGTAGGGCAATGCCTCAAGCTTTAAGACACTGCCCTATTAATGACAAAAAAAACAAAATACGGGTTGATTGAGTGGCAATGTTGAAGAAAAATGTTGGGTTGACCAGCCTTAGTAATTTTCACATATAAGTGGAGCATTTCATATTTTATCTAAAATTTTTTAGGTCGGTTTATAAATCATTCTTTTTTTTTTACCTGGAGCATTTCGTATTTGACATGGGGGTGGGGGTAGTAGAAAAAGAAACAATATTGGGGTTCATAGTGGCATAAAAAATCTGGGTTTGAAGGATACCTGAAAAGATGAAATTGGGGGATTGGGGGAGGAGGAGGAAGGGGGGTCTTGAGGTTTAGTAATTTTCCCTAGATTAGGAAAAAAAAAGAAGGAAAAATTACAAAATGCTCCCTAAAATGGACTATCTACGCAACTTACCCCCACCCCAATTTTTTCTCATACCTTTTTCCCTCCAAAGAACCTTTCCTTCCCCCAAACCCAAAAGTAACATAAAATAGGACTAAAATACCCTCGTTTCTTTTCACACGGCCTTCTCTTTCCTATTTCTTTTCACACGGCCTTCGGCTTCGGTAATGGAGGACTAGGTTCCGGCAGTCCTAATGTGCGCTCCGACAGTCACAATGTGCGCTCCGACAGTGCTTTGTCTGACCCACATCGCTCCGGCATACTGAGAAGTGCGTTTCGGCAATATGAGAATGCGCTCTAGCACTGAAAATACGCACTCCGGCAGTTTGCTCTGGCATTGTAGCACCGCGCTCCTGCAGTGCTTCTTGACATTCTGCCCCGGCAGTAGTATACTGCGCTTTGGCACTCCTCTATTTGGGATCGCGAATTGATTTGGTTTGTATGGGAAGGGCATTTCCATCCAAAAATTAATAACTTTTTACCTTGGGGGGTTTTTGCAAAGAAAGGTTGTATGGGAAAAAAATGTGAGAAAAATTAGGATGGGGTAAGTTGCATAGTTCATTTTAGGATCTATTTTGTAATTTTTCCAAAAAAAAAAACAAAAAAAACCATTTTTCTTGAATGTAAACTTAGTAACAACATGAAGAAGATGTCGTTATACCATACCATATATAAGAGTTTAGATACTATGGAGAGCCGTCTATGTTAGGCCAAAGCTTGGTATGGAATGCGGACAGCTGGTGGTGGCATTTTTAACCCCATACACCAAAACACGTTCAACCGATCAACCACCAAATTGGTTTCCGCGCCACCGCAGCAGCCAAGCTCAGCTCTACCCCAACCCATGATGCTTCTCACTAGAGCGAACAGAGGCGCCCGGAGCCATGGCCGAAAGTGCAGACAACTCCTTGGCCTGCGGCTGCCCTGCCAATATCTTCTCCTTTGTAGAAGGGGTGGCCGAACGGAAGCTCTACCTCCTGTGCGCGCAGTTGTGCGTTATGCTGGTCCTTGTCCGCCTTTGGCACATGATCCTCAGGCTCATTCGCCTCCCTCAATACAGCGCCGAGCTCCTCGTAAGTTTCGACTGCCCCGTCTTTGATGAATTGAGCAGTTAGGTGAAATTGTGGTCTCATGCACTTTTGTTGTTGCTCGTGTTTGTGTGGGTGCAGGCTGCCGCCGTCATAGGTCCTTTCTTTGTGGCCCGGTTCAGCTGGGTGAAGGCAGTGCTCTTTCCCCCAGAGGGTGTGAACGCAATGGTAGGATTCTCATCCACTGGTGGCCTCCTATTTGCCTTTCTTTGTGGTCTTGAGATGGACCCGTCGCTCATCTGGATCCGTGGGCATCGAGCCTGGCTCAGCATACTGGGCATTGTATCCATTTCAGCTGCATTGGGCACTGCCATATCGGACACATTATACAACATGATTGAGCCCCGGACCAACCGTGGCGATTTCCGCTTTGCGCTGTCGCTCTTCTTCGTCCTCACAGGTTCTCCAGCATTGGTCCGACAGGCCGCCGAGATGAAGATGGACACGACCAAGGTTGGGCAGCTTGGCGCCTGGATAGCAGTGCTCAACGATGTCGTCTGCCTCACAATGACCGCGCTGATGTCTGTATTGCCTGTCATCTCTGGGGCCTCAATGATGGACAACCCATTGGAGCCCATGATGGCAGTGGCCTACCCGGTGCTCGCCTGTGTCTTGGTCGGCCCTTTGATGTGCCATGTGATGCAAGACAGGAACAGCGACGCGCAGCTGATGGTGGTGATGGGGATCATGTTGGCATACACGGCAATTGGGGAGATGGTGGGATACAACGGCATGGTGGCGAGCTTCATGTTGGGGATTATGGTGCCTAGGGAGGACGGCGTGGCGACGTCGCTCTTGGACCGGCTGTACTACCCGGTGCGCTACGTTGCTTTTCCGATGTATATGGCCTTCATGACCCATGTCTCATGGGCAGGACCGATACAGCCGATGCCAGTTTTGCCAGCATTCATTATGGCGATCTTGTCTACAACGGCAAAGCTCGCGATGTCTCTGGGCATGGCATGGGTGCACAAGACTTCACTGCATGACGGCCTCATCTTAGGTTTCCTCCTCAATGTTAGGTCCTTTCCTGACTTGATATTTCTCGCTGTGACCGTGGAGCAAAGAGTAAGTCCCCTCTTTTTCTCCCTCCACAAATTGTTTTCCTCTTGTGTTGATCTTTCAAACCTAGAAAAGCATGTGCTTATGTGTTTATGGAACTTTTTGTTAGAATTAGCAAAAAAACCTAGAAAAGCATGTTCTTATGTGTTTATGGAACTTTTTGTTGGAGTTAGCAAGAAAATGATAGTAAGAATGAAGAGAAAGTAATATTAACTTAAACAAATATTTCGCTAAATAGTAAATACTAGGGTTATATTGAAGTTGTAAATTCATAAATCTCTCCCCACATTAGTTCCATGCTTATTTATAGCTTTCTTTAGACGCCGTCTTAGTCGGTTAAGATGGTCCTTGAAAGTTGACACCGTGTTTGAATGGTCTACAACGTTCTCTTTAATTCATCACAAAGCAACTATTCCTGCTGCCAATTGCACCAACTTTCTACTGCATAATGCATAACATAACAGAAGGTTCTACATAGAAAGAGAATAGTAATAAAATGACGGTGGAGAGATGACAAATTATCTTTTAATATCCCCTTAATTTGTTACGTTCATGTTAATTAAGCCCCTAAACGAGGCTAGTGACTAGTCAAATCACCAACAGGCAAATCACAAGCCAAGCACGTTAATCAATCAAATTTGTTTAAGTTCAACATAATATAGTATATAATATATAGGAAAATACTTATAAACATTGATGAGTGAATTTCTACCCTATTTTACTAATAATTTACTAATAACGCATCACCATTCAAAGTCTATCATAGAGTCAGGGTTGTTTAATAAGTTTTGAATTTTAATAATTTTTATAAAAATCATATTCATCTAAATTTTGGGTTTTGTATACATATAACCAACTCATACTTAAATAAAATAATAAAATAAATTATAAAAAATAAAATGATAAAATACCCATGAAATACTTTTGGGGTAATTTGGCTATTTTTATTATTTTAAGTAGTTTATTTTATTTTATTTAAGTGTACCTCCCTAAGGTGTACACACCCACAAATTTTGAGATTAATCGAATTTGTAAAAGATTTCAAATACTATCAGACAATAATAACTGTTTACGGACTTTAGACAGTGATGAGCCAAGAGTGAAGTGCTGTAGAACTTGACTCATGAGTATTTTTAAGTGTTTTCCTTAGAAAATACCTACAAACATTCATGAATGAATTTCTACAATAGTTCACTTATGGTTTATCATGATCCATAGTACTGCAGAACATCACTCATTAGCATTTTTAAGTGTTTTCCTAATAAATAAAATACTAAACAGGATAGAGCCAAGCTTGGTCATTTATAAATGTGCCAACATGGCTTGCTTCTAGTTGGCTTGTTGAGCTGAAAAATATCTTTCTGGCTTGGCTTGTTGGCTTGTTTGTATAAATAGTATTATTTATATGTAATTTAAATTACTATATTTGGATCGATTTGGACTCGACCCAAATCCAACCAGTCTCGATAGGATCCAAACCTGGTCAGGTCAACGTCAAGTGGACCTAGAACCAAAGCAAACCTGGTTGGGTCAGGCACTACTTATTTTTCATAAGTCTCTCTCTGTCTTGCCTTTTTTTTCGTGGCCCCTTCTCTCTCTCTTATTTATGCCTCTAAACTTTCAACAACAAAACAAGAAAAAGAAAAAAAGATGAAAGGGAAGAAAGAGAAACCTTCTCATTAAGAATCCATTTAAAGTTTCTAGCCATAAGATAATATATGTAAGTTATATTAAAAATTTTGTTCATATAGTGCGTAAAAAAGTATAATGAATAATAATATATTAGAAAATATACAATATTCTTATAGAAAAAAGTACATCTAAAATGTTCTAGGTTGACCTGACCTAATGACAGCCCGGACTTGAACCTAGACTCAGATCCTAACCCAAGTTAGGTTGACCCGATACGTTGGGTTGGCAGGTCAACCCGACCCGTCACTCAACTCGAGAAAAGACAGTGTATGGTGCAAACTATTCTGGATTTGGGGGCAAACAACCATATTGGGAACAACTTTGAATCGATGAATTGCCCATTCGACCGATTACCTGGTATGGGAATTGCTCCATAAAAAATTAAAAAAATAAGGAAAAAGGAAAATAATTTAAAATTGTAATATGTGGGAACTGTTCAATCGTCCACTTCCGTGACAATTTCGCCAGTTCCTTGATGGTATAGGCGATCCACAATGGAGTTGGATTGGTCCTGATACTTGTCAGGAACTGGTTCATCCCAGTTCCTAATCAAGATCCGCTGGATTTCAAGTCACTAACGCAAACTTTTGAGTGTGAATCTACTTTTTCAACTCCAGAAATAGAAAACTTCAATATTCCCCATGAAATTAAGCTTATAAGTGCGTTATTAGTAGTTCCATAAAAGCATTTTGGAATGACCACCCCAAAAAAAAACAACTTTTTTTTTTTTTTGTATTTCCTAATGATTATGTGCATTATTTAATTATAGGGAATGATCATATGTATTTTACATGCACCATGTTATAAGAGTTTTTTTAACTTTTTTTTTTGAGAAATGACATTTTATCCTTCTTTCGATATATCGCCTGTGCACTGCTGAAACCGACAACCAAAACTCTCGTCCTTAATTCCTATACTCTTTGCCTAAAATGTGCTCTCTCTCTCATATTGATTACTGGACGTCCTCTCTCCCTCCCTCCTTATTAGTGTACCTTGTTCTGTCTGAGCATGCTAAGAGAGAGAGAGATGATGCTTTTCAAGGAAGCAAGATCTCAAGCTAAGAATTTTCAAATCTCAGATGGATTTTTTTGTTTTTCCTTTTGCCAAGGGCTCAGAGATAGAGAAATCGGGTGTTTTCTCTAAACAACCAAAGTTAATTAAATTTTAGGGTTTTGAGGTACATAGAGTTGCATATCGCAAAAATCATAAAGAGATGAAGGAGATCTCTTTACAAAACATTCATTTTTCCCATTTCCCAGAGAAACCTTTCTTGTCCCATTAAAGTTTGTGATCATTGCATTAGTCCTGAAGCTTTAAAGATCTAATGCTTTGATAGGGTTGCTCACATTTTGCCATTAAGCTCTAAGCATCATCTAAATATAAAGTTTTGTTAGAAAGTGGCACCAGAGACAGAGATATGAGGATGCAAAGGGCGCATGCTCGGGTTACTTTGCAATGTCCTGGATTTTAAGGAATACACAACAAAACATTTGACTCGTTAGAATGGATGGTCTAAAACTCAAATCCCTCTATGACACTGTATGTGAAATACATATTAGTAAAAATTATTTATGGACATGAATACAAATAGGATACAACATGATGAACCACATTTTCAAGTATTTTGCACCAAGATCCACTGGCTGTGGTCCTTTTTATTTTATTTTTCAATTGACTCTTTCCCCTCCCGGGGCTTCCAATATTTGCAATATCATATCACTTTTTATTTTTGAATTAATTACATTCAGGACTTAAATAAGTTACAAAAATATGATTTGCTCCCTTTATATCCGAAAATTACAATCAAGATCGGTCAGTACGATTTTTTTTGACAAAATTACCCCTCTATTCGAGGATGCCATCCTCGAATGGCTTTTTTTGGGTCAAAACTTAAATTACGGTCCCATAATGGCATTCTCGGACCGTTTTTCTCTTTCAAACTTAAGTTTCAGTCCGAGAATGCCATCCTAGGATTGTAACTTTAAGTTTTGGAATAAAAAAATGGTCCGCGGATGCCCAATGGCCCTTTTCTTTTTCAAAGGTTAAGTTTTGGCCTGAAAATGCCATCCTCATACTGCAACTTTCAATTTTGGAAAAAAAGAAGTAGTATGGGGATGGCTTCTCTGGACCGCTTTTAAGTTTTGAAAAAAGAAAGAGGTATGGGGATGCTATTCCTAGATAGATTTTAAGTTTTGAAAAGAAAAAAAAAAACAGCGGTTCGAAGATGGCATATCCAGATTGCCCTTTTTTTTTTTTTTTTCAAAATTGAAAGTTGTGGTCCGAGGATATCATTCTCAAGCCGCCTTTTATTTTTATTTTTAAGTTTAAGTTTCGGTCCAAGGTTGAAATCCATAGGCCTCAACTTAATTTTTGAAAAAAAACAGAGGTATGAAAATGCCATCATCAGATCGCAACTTTTAAGTTTTGAAAAAAAAAAAACGGTCTAAAGATGGCATCTTCGGATCGAGGGGATAATTTTGTCAAAAAAAAAGAGGTCACGTTGACCCACATTGATTGTAATTTTCGGATATAAAAAGAAAATCATATTTTTCTAACTTATTTAAGATCCATACATAAATAACTCTTTATTTTAAGTTTTTGGTTTATAGGTTGGTCATATGTTTCGACTACGGGACATCCCTATAGTCAGTGTCCGATATCTAAAACAATGAACCAACGGCTTAAGAAGGTTTTAAGTATGCCTAGTGGTCCAATGTTGCCAACATTAGACAACTCTATAATAAGCGGTCCGATTTATTGAACATTGGACCTCGTAACCTGCGAAAGTTTTAAGTAGGCCTAGTGGTGCGGTCTTACAAGTATTGGACTCCTCAAAACTTTAAAAATTTTGAAGTCTGGGTTGGTCCAATGTTAGTGATATCGGATAATGCCAAAGTTAAGTTTAAATGATCCATTATCGTAATTGGGGTTTTGAATAAGCCATCCATATCATAATATTAGACTGATTGCTAATATGCTTCAGCCATACATACCAAAAAAATAAAAAAATTAAACTAAATAAGGTCGGAGGTTGCAAACAACGGTTCGAGGAGTAAAATTAGACAAAAATAAAAATGGCATAGGGATGGACTTTGGTGGACAATACGTGAAAATCTAGACCCCACGTGATATTTTATTTTTTTGAAGTCGGTTCATAAATTTTCCTCATCCTATTCACTGAGGAGCAGTGTTCAAAAAATCAAACTGGCCTTAGAAACCAGCCAAGGGCTGGATCCAAATAACCGGTAAACCTGCTGGTTAATCGGCCTAAATGAGCTGATCCTGGCCAGTCCAAAAAGTACTAAAAAATAAAAAATCCAAAATCTAAATTCTATTCAAAATATATAAAAAATATATTTAAAGCACGATTAAACAAATCATATCCAAATAAAATTCAAAAGTAGTAAAAAAATGAATTTTTAAAAATCAATTTGTGTCGAGAGTATTTTTAAATTTATGCAAAAAAGATATAAAAATATAAAAATAAGTATTTACGGACAAAACACTTTCTAAACTTTATCAAAATGATAAAAACATTAAAAAAACACATTACTAACAAATCGTTTGGATTATATATATATTTGAATTTTTTTTTAAATACCTGGCCGGACAATTACAATTGGCCAAACCTGAATCGGCCAATGTCTGGTTCCGGTTTGACCGACCAGATCTGAGTTGACCCGGCAGAGTGCGAACACGGCTAAGCGGTCACATTTGTGCAGATGATTGATGTCCCGGTTGTGGAGGCTTTCATGTTCAGCTCCTTCCTCAACTCGATGATTGCTGCCTTGGCTCTGCTTGGTATAATACAGGCCACCAAGAAGCCCAACCTCATGATCTCCACACACGCAGGAATGGAGGAGCTGGGCGTTGGGGCTGAGTTTCACCTGCTTGTGTGCCTCCATAACGCCATTGATGTGCCTTGCTCCATCAACCTCATTGAATCGTGCCGTGGCTCCGGTGCCTTCTCCCTTTCCGTCAACACCATGCACCTGATCGAGTACAATGAGCGCACTGCCGCACAGCTGCTGTACCGTCGGGACATCACACACATGCTGGTTGGGGGTGAGTCGAAGCAGATAAGCGATGCATTCGAGGCCTACAGGAGCAAGGTGGCCATCTCGATGCGGCACAGCACCACCATCTCCTTCTTATTCAACATGCATGAGGACATCTGCCGCAGTGCTGATGAGGTGGCGGCCTCCATGATCGTTCTCCCCTATCACATGCTGTATAGAGATGACGGCAAGATGCAGGTACGGAATTCAGAAATTCGGAAGCTCAATCAGAGGGTGATAAGCCATGCAACATGCCCAGTGGGCATAATCATCGACCGGGGCCTCGGGGACACATCACTGACGTCCGCTGCCCACCTGTCCCACAACCGGAATGTGTTCGGGCTCTTTTTCGGAGGGCCAAGTGATCGCGAGGCCATCACTCTAGGGGGAAGGCTGTCCGAGCATCCCGACATCAGATTTACACTGCTCCACTTCCTGTGTTCAAGGCATAGCGATGGGCTGGAGCAGTCAGGGACTCGAGTCTCTTCCAACTCGGCGATGGTTCAGATGCCTCAGCAGAAATCTAATCCAAAACTGGATTCTTTCCCCGAAATAGAGAAGGACCAGATGTTTCTGAATAGTTTTAGAAGGAAGTATGAGAAAAATAGTAGAGTGTTCTATGAGGAGAGGACACTGGGAACGGAAAAAGACCTGGTTCCAGCACTGCAAGCTTTAGATGCCGAGTGCACATTGTTTATCGTAGGCCAAGGACAGTCTCTAGCTCCTGCTGGGCTGGTGAGGTCCACAGAGTGCCCTGAGCTTGGTCCTGTAGGGGACCTGTTAACTCACTCATATTCTTCCATTACTAGTTCAGTTTTGGTTGTAATAAAAAGTCGCTCCCACAAGTCATTTTCACGCTACAGCTAGAGAAACTGATGCATTTCCGTGAATCTTTCAACTGGGCAAGTCGAACAAAAACTCGTCCGAGTCGACTCTCCTCGGCGGTAGGTGTCCATCCAAGGGTCACTCTGCCTGGTCCCTGTTAGGCTCGGCTGGGACAATGAGTCTCGCCATGGCGGTCGAGTATCTAAGGTCTTAACTGAATCCATTACCCGTTCAGGGCATTCATGTTTTAGAGAAATGGGAGATTTGCTTCAAGTCTTTAGGTGTGGCAGTAGGCACTTCAGTTATATAGGCATGAATATGTATATCAACAATTGACATGTATATGAGTACCAGAATCACTAATCTTAAAGTTAGCCTTTTGACCATGACATATTTGTATATTGTTTAAAGAAAGAAGTGCGATTTCATGCGACACCGGGTACTTTTATATTGAGATTTGAGAAAAGGATGTGAAGAAGCGTTTGGGTTTCTAAATATCAAGTTTGTTTCCGATTATTGAATCCTGGTATCTATTGGTAATGTTTCGAAGTGGTCCGATGTTTTCAAAATCGAACCGCTATAATGTTATTCTTTTTTTCGTTTTGAAAGCGATTGGAGAGTTGAGCGTGAAATTAAAATTTAACCCCCCGTCTCTCCTAGCACTCTCTCTCTCTTCTCGTTTGCTCTACCAACTCTCTCGCTCTTTATCTCTCTCAGCTGGCATCTTCTCTCAGTTCGCTCTCTCTTACCCTCTTATCTTTTTGAACCTTGCTTTTTCATTTGTCCTAAATTTCTAAAAATTTCTACTAGGGGTTTGTATTTGGAAATTGCAAAGATATTGAAGTTGGGAAACAAATTTTCAAGGTACACAAAATGAATTTAAATTTGAACCTTTTGTTGATTTTTTTTATGTAAATCATGTGGTCCGATGTTTGAACCATCAGATCGCTTGGGTTACTTTGAAAACATTGAACAGAAGGCGGTCCGATGTTTGAACCATCAGACCACATAGTTTAGTTAAAAACTTGAACATAATTCGGTCTGATGTTTGAATCATAAGATCACGTTATTTTTTTTAAAAAAATGAACAGAAGGCACTTTGATGGCTTGAACATCATATTGCTTGTTTGGGAAAAAAAGAAAGAAAAGAAGGCGGTCCGATGTTCGAACCATAGTACTGTGTTATTTAATAAAAAGGAAAAAAACAGAAGGCTGTTTGATATTTGATATTTGAACCATCAGACCACGTTATTTACTTTAAAATATTCAACAGAAGTTTGAACCGCATTGTGTACAATTTTTTTCCTATACAATACCTTTTGTTAATTCTTTTAGTTAATATGCGGTTCGATGTTTCGAACATCAGATGACCTTCTGTTTGTTTGTTTGTTTGTTTTTTTTTTTTTTTTTAAAAGTAAACCATCCGGTCATGATCAAGGACATGAGCCAAAAATTCTCATCTTTTGGAGTTTGCCCAAAAAGAGACATAGCATATGCTCAAAATATTGAAGCAAATATAAGAGCAATATGACCTGATGATCTAATTCAAACAAGAATCGATCAAAACATTGCGAAGGGACTATGGACTAGTTACGTATAAATAATTCGAAACAAGTCAATAACTGAAGGCAGTCACAAAACCAAAAGGGCATTCATTGCAAAAATTTGGAGCATCCAGTACATTCCAATTTTATATCATTTTTTGTACATCGATCTTTATACCAAAAAAAAAAACACAAAAGAGTCCTATGTTTCTCGATGCCTCGGCTTGGACTGTTTTGTTCTTGCTCTACTAATCTGGCTAGGTCCCTCATCTTGTTGCCGTATTGTAATGCCTTTACCCGGTACTGGTTCGAAATTGAATCGTCGCTCTACATCCACGGGCTCAGGCAAGGGGGCCACCTCAACTACCTCTACAGGCTCAAGCACAATTACCTCGTCCTCCGCCTCCTCGTCCACCTCCTCATCTGTGTCCTCGTTTGTCTCCTCATTTGCCTCCTCGATTGCATACACCTCTTGGATGGACAACTCTTGACGGGCAGCTATTGCATGCTCTTGAGCAATGGGTCCCATATCATTTGAAGCCAGTGTAAAAGTAAGGTGTTGTAGCATGCGTTGTACCGTACGAATCCGTAAAGGAGACTAATATTATAAAAGACGTATGCCACATGCCATAAAATTTAACTATAAAATACATCAAAAGGATTAAATAACATTTTTTTACCATGCTTAACTTGTCGGCATATCCTCTTGGGGGTATATATTACATCCCTTGGATGTGTCAGGTCCCATATCATCGGTCTAGACACCCTCGAGAATCATTACATGTACTCTACGGAGGGCACCCCATCCTCGATGTTTGCTTCAACATCAACACCACCAGCCCAGTAATTGTATCGATCCTCCCATATTTGGATTTGTGGGGCTAACTCCTGTGCTCATGAAGCCCACCAACGTACCAGGACTCTCTCGTTCCCATCTCTCTAAATAATTTGGAATTTCCTGATTGTAGCTAAACTAACGAAGCACTCGTTCTAACATATAGCTCTCCACAATGTTATAAAAAATAAGAAAGAAATTATACATTGTGGAGGTGAACACATCAGTGGATGCTTCCCAGTTATATTGATCTAATTGGCCCTTATTTGGTTCCACGATATATAGCTGCCATTGAACCTACAATTTGAGAAAAATAAACTTTATTTTATAAAGATTATGTGAAACCCACAAATATTAGCACAAATAATTAAATTTTTACATTAGGTTTATTCAATGAAATTAAAAATTGTGACAAAATGCATGTGGTTGTGCTAACCTTTTTGGAATCAATGAGGTCGCGCTCCTAATGATAATGGGCATCATTGTGTGCACGTTTCTATTTTTAATGGGATGCCTTCATCGCTTCACTTGTGGCTCGCCCACTCTAACCTTTCAGTCCTCATCATTAGATGCAGAATAAAAAAATATTCAACTACCCAACTCTGCATAATAAATTAATAACACAAAATATAATAAATATATCGACCTAACAAGCTTTAGAAATGAAAATCATATAAATATATTGTCACACAGACGCATAACTATCCATGCACATACCTAAAAAATGTTGCCAACCCACTAAAGTGCTGGTTCTTGGAAGCAAGACCATGGTACAATGATGTATTAGCTATACTAAAAAATAACAAATACCTAGAAGGAGCCAGTATTAAAGGCAAGGAAGCCCCAAGAAGATTCTCAACCAAGTACACATAAAAATCCTTCGAAGGAGATTTCCTAAGATGCGTCGATCATCATGAAATTAACTAAATCCTCAAAGAAGCACACAACCAGGGAGGACATCCTGGGGTATCTTCCCTCGCCCAGAAAATTAGGGGCCAAGGATATTGCTGGACCACGATGGAAGAGGACTGTTGGAAGCACGTAAAGAGTTGTTCCAAATGCCAAATTTATGGGGACCTCATCCACATGCCATCCATGCCTTTGAATTCAACGCCACCAATATGGCCTTTCGCAAGGTGGGCCCTTGATGTTATAGGAATGATAACCCCTCAGGTTTCAAATGGAAGTAGGTTCACTTTAACGGCCACAAAATGTTTTGCCAAGTGGGTCGAAGCCACTTCATTCACAAAAATCTAGGAGCGACATGTGGCACGGTTCATTAAGAATAACATAATCTTTAGGTTCGGAGTCCCAAAAATAATTCATAGATAATGGGACAAACTTCAAGAACGACACCATAACTCGAGTATGCAAACGATTTGGCATAGCTCATAAGTTCTCAATACCATACTATTTGCAAGGAAAGGACCAAGTTGAGGCCATGAATAAGTTCATTGTCAGGATCATTGATAGGATCGTAGAGAATGGGAAACAATGGCATGAAAGGTTACAAGACGACCTATGGGCCTATCGAACCAATGAAAGACACCTACATGTATGGCGCCATATTAACTAGTGTATGGCATGGAGGTGGTAACACCTGTCGAAATCGACATAGCTTCCCTTCAGGATGCTCACTGACCACACCTTAAATGACAAAGAATTATGTGAGGCTCGCATAGTCTCCTTCATCACCCTTGATGAGAGGTAGCTTCGAGCCTGCAATACCACGAGCAGCTACAGTAGGCGGTTCGAGTGGACCTACCTAAAGGTCATTCCAAGACAATTTCAAGTAGGTGACATGGTATTAAAAAATATATTTCATTCGTCTGCTAACCCCCATCCATTGGAAAAATTCAAACCCAATTGGGAAGCTCCATTCGTAATAACCAAGGTGCGTCCCACAAACTCTTACAAGTTGAAAAACTAGGAAAGGTCAGAGATAAATGCCCCGCGAATATCATGTACCTCAAGAGATCCCATAGGGGAACAAAGAGAAAAACAGGGAAAAAAAAAGAGAGAAAAAGGAAAAGAAAAAGAAGAAGAAGGTGGACATGGTGAAAACCGGAAGAAAGGGCCCTGTTTGAGTGTATTTTTGGCGCACTAACACCCCGAGTCGAATAATAGAGGAGGCAATCATGACCCAAGCCTATAGGTGTCAGTCATACTTGTGGACTATAGAAGCCCGCATGAATAAGGCTGACTTTCAAGTAATTTTGAAAAGGTGTAATGTCGTCCCCAAAAAGCATGCGAGGGTGGCATTTGAGCTATATTTTCAAGGTCTCAAATGAGTGCAAGACTACCACCATTGGATTCAGAACGCTCCAAAATTCACAAATATCAATTTTCAACTCATTTGGATACTTCTGGACCATTATAGGCCCAACTTACCCAAAACAGGTGCCTCAATGAACTAGTTTCCATTTAAGGAAACTGTGTTTTTTGAAAATGAGAATTCTTTAGGAGGCCATAACTTCTTCATCCCAAGGCCAATCAAGCCCAAATTTTGGTATATTGTGCAGCTCGTCAAGAAGCACATTTTGGTATATGGCACAGCTCGAGACAATGCTCGAAACAGAAGAAATCTTTAAGAGAAACATACACTCACTCCCATGGCCTTTTCTTGAAGCCTCGACATCGGATAGCCTCAAGAGAAGGTCCAT